GGTCCCATGGCCAGATCCAAAGTCTGGATCCTCTTCCTCCCCCCCCAGGCAGCTCCTCATCATCACCCCCACGCTGCCAACCACCGAGAAGGAGACGACAACCTTGGGACGATGCTGCTTGAAACAAGACCACGACTTTATTTGAGCTAAAACCCCCCCAATTCTGCTTTCTTTACAAAAGGATAAACATTTCCTCTCGGTACAAAAGGGAAGAAGCCCCAGGAAGATCCAGGGGCTGGGCGGGGACCTCCGGAGCTCCGAGCCACCTCCAAATTCCCAACTCTATACAAAACAGGGAGGTTTGGCCAACGGGGACTCACGGGGGGCCAGCAGGACATCAAAAAATAGTCACCTGGATCTTCTTGAAAACCACAAAAAATAGTTGCATAGCCTTTCAAAGTTATTGCTCCTCTAGAAACACGAGGGCCAACCAGCCTCCAAAACCCAAGAGGTGACCACGGTCCACAGGTGGGTCAAGGTTCAAGGTGGAAGGTCTCGAGTCAAGAGTTGGGTTTGGTCACCAGGGACCAGAGAGGGAGGGTAGGAAGGAAATAAATTAAATAAATAGTGGCTAATAAATAATCCTGGAGCAAGGGGATGGCCAAAGAACCACAGGTCTCCACGAGGGTGACTCCAACCAAGTGCTTGGGAGTCCACTGGAGGAGGAGGAGGAGGTTGCTCAGCACGGCCCTCGTGTGAGATGGAAGGAAATAAATTAGACAACCCCCTCCCCCCAACCCTCATACACGCAGGAAATAAATAAAACAGGAAATTAAGACACGTTTCTTTTGGCAGGAGGTCTTCAGGACACGGGTGGTGAGGAGTAGCTACAAACCCTACAAAGATGTGGCCCTGGTGAGGAGCAAGAGTTTGTGAGAGCTCCTCTTCCAGCCCAGGGAAGTGTCTCTGGAAGATCAACTGGCTGTTGAAGTCCCTGAATGAGGTTTCAAGATCCACGTGCTGAGAATTTCATGCTGGTTGTAGGTCACAGGGGAGGTTTGGAGGCTCAGAAGAGGATGGGCAGCAAGGCTCAGTGCAGAAGAGCCGTGGAAGAACCATCGTGGAGAAGCTCTGAGCCTGGCTGGACGTTGTTGCCATCCCTGGACAGCAAAGAGAAGGTTCTTTCTTGGGTGAGAAGCTTCAAGGAGGTCCAGATCGTTCCCACCTCTGGTCATGGCTGGAGTGGGAAGACCATGACCCCATCAGAGCGTGTGGAAGGGGAACTGGTCATCCCAAGGGGCAAGGAGAGGGGTTGTCTCCACCTGGTGCCAGGCAGAGGTGTGCCCACGGGTCACCACCCCGGGAAAGGAGCTGGAACATCTTGGCAAAGGGTGATCCCAAGTGCTGGAGTGCGTTGGGGCCAGAAGTCCTGTGGGGTGAGGCCACCTTCCTGAGCAGCTCTGGGAGAGAGGGAGCAGAAGGCACCAGCTCAGATGTCACCGAGGTGGCACCAGCTCAGAAGTCACCGTGGTGCCCCCAGCTCTGAAATCACCAAGGTGGCACCAGCTCAGAAGTCACCGAGGTGCCCCCAGCTCTGAAATCACCAAGGTGGCACCAGCTCAGAGGTCACCGAGGTGCCCCCAGCTCTGAAATCACCAAGCTGGCACCAGCACAGACCTGCTGGGACTTGGAGAACCAACAGAACCTTCCACGTTGACATCCTGCAGAGCTGCTCAGAGGTCCCTCACCCCTCCTCCCATCCTCGCTCCGGTTGTGTCCTTTCCAGAAGGAGCTCCAGGACGTGGCTCAACTTCTCTCTGCGCCCAGAATTCGGGTCCAGCTCCTCTTCCTTAGTCGTTGAAGATGGTGTTGAGCTGAGGCCCGGCCACGGGGTGTGGGTAGGAGTCATAGCTCATGTCTAGGGGGATCTCGTAGCGGGGCACCGTGGTTTGGAAGTGGGAGGAGTGTCCATGTGCTCCAGCCAGGCTGACGGAGGGATAGTGGGCCATGAAGCTGTAGGACTTCTCCAGGTCTGGAGACCCATCTTGCTTCAAAGAGAAGTTCCCACTGATGCTCAGGGGAGGCGTCAGGGGACCCTCATAAGGGGGAGTGGTGCAGTCAGAGGGATGGGTTCCAAAAGAAGCATCCACCAAGCTCTTGAAGGTCGGAGGCTTTAGATGCAGCAGATGGGTCTCCATGGTCCCGTAGGGTGGGCTTGGGAGCCCGGGGGACTGGTAGCTGAAGGAGTGGTTGGTTATGGCCGATTCACACGCCGGGGACTTCTCTTCATGCTTCTCCAGGAACAAGGTCTGAGGTCCCAGCTGCAGACAGCCGGCCACCAGGTTGCTGGTGGGCTGGGACAAGCCCTTGCAGAGCATCTCCACGAAGCTCTTCCCTTCGGGAGTCTGCCCTGTCTCGAGAACCTCAGACAGAGCCCAGATGTAGTTCCTGGCAAGCCTCAGGGTCTCGATCTTGGAGAGCTTCTGAGTTTTGGAGTAGCAGGGCATCACCCTCCTCAGGTTGTCCAGGGCGTCGTTCAGACCGTGCATCCGTGTCCTCTCCCGGGCGTTGGCCTTCACCCGCCGAGCCCTGAACCTCTCCAGCCTTGCCTTGGTCATTTTCTTCTTCTTTGGTCCTCTCCTCTTGGGTTTTTCCCCATCGTCCTCTTCCTCCTCTTCCTCCTCGATGCTGTCACGCTCTTCGTTCAAGCCAGACATCAACCCGAAGGGGCCTCGTCCCCCCTCCTCTTCCTTCAGCTCGTCCTTGGAGCTCAAGGTCTCATCCAGCCAGGCTTGGGTGCTCACGAGCTCTGCCATCTCCTTGGGCTTGGCACAAGTCTTGGTCATCTCCGATCTCTGCAACCAAGGGACAAGGAGATGTTAAGGAATTCCAGCAGAGGAGTCGCTCAACGTGCTGAAGGCAGCAGGAACTGAGCTCAGAATCATCCTCCAGAGACATCGACCCATTTCTGTCCCCTCCTTGGACAGAAAATCCCTTTACCCCTCCTCTATCCACTTCTCTGCCCACCAAAATTCCTGGAGAATCCTTTTGGGAGCCACCAAACCCTCTCCTTGGGGCCAAGCAACTCTTTGGAGCTTCCAGCAAGTCCTTTTGGGGGTGATTCCCACTCGTGAGTCCTTCCCCTGGTGTCTTGGATCCCAATTGCCCCCTCCTGGGGGGCAAAACGGAGCCTGAAAGCAAAGACCCTCTGCTGAGCTGCCTCTGGAGATCTTCCTACTGGAGATCCTACCTGAGGACATCAGCTTGAACCTCCATCTCCCTCTGCCCTAAGGAGCGTGGTCACGGCACACAAACCAAGCAGGGTTTGATGTTCATCAGCCCCCCCCCAGATCCCATCAGCGGGGGGTTGACTCATTTAATAAAGCTTAACATCTAAGCAGCTTTGCTGAAAGTGCTGCCCAAGCCCTGGCCCCACCTCCTTGGTCCACCCCACGTGGAAAATCCCACTTTTAATCTGCGTGATGGGCCCCACGGGCTGGATTAGGGTGTTAATTGCTGCTCGGAGTCGGCGTGTTCCCCACGGACCACGGGGCTCCAATTAACTCTGGGGCAGAGTAACGAGGGTCTGTCAAAAGGCTGGGAGATCTGGAGGGTGAAGGTGGGGAAGGATCCATCTGATGGCTCTGGAATCAGGGTGGAGAAGGTCCAAACACCCTTTGGTGGGGCCACGGGGGGCTCTGCGTGGGGACAGCAGCCCAGAAACGGCTCCAGAGCTGCCCCAAACCCCCCACCCCAGGCTGCACTCTGAGGGTGACTTTCACTCCATCCTTGGAGATGGAGAGTTGGACGTAGAAACAGCTCCAGATCTACCCCCCCAAAAACCCCTCCAGGGGGTTATTTCCCCCCATCCTTGGGGATTGACCCCCAAAAGCAGCATCCCTGCCCCTCGCTGTGGTCCTGGGCCCCAGGAGCCAGCCCCAGAAGAATGTCACCCAGGTTGGGGCTCTGTTGGAAGAGCCAAACCCGGCGTCTTCCTCCCTTCCCTGAGCTCCACGGGGCAAGAGTCCCACAAAAAACCTTCCACAAGTTTGTCTCTTTGGAAAGCCAGTTGGGATTTTTAGGGATTTTGCTCTTTCTTCCTGATATTTTAAAAAAAAGGGGGTGGTGGGAAGTAGACAAAGAGGGAACTGCCCAAAAAAAGTCACTCTGGTGGTTTCCCAGGTCAGGAGATGATGGGAACCCCCCTGGGAGCTCGTCCAGCCTTGATATTTTGGCTATTTTTCCTTTTCAAATATCTCCATCTCCCATCACCTGAAGGATCTCAAGGAAACCCTTGCGAGGAGAAGTCTGAAGCAGCCAAAAAAACTTGGTTTTGAAGCAGGGCTGGCTCAGCTTGTAGCAGAGGGAGACGTTGTCCCTTTGTGTCCCCGAGCCCCCTGCCCCAAACAAGTGGCTTCAACTCCTCCTCTCCTGTAGGAACTTGGTTTCAACCCTCCCCTGATCTCCTTCCAAGGGACTCGGAGCCCCCCAGAAGAGGATGGTTGGTCCAGGACAAAGCCTGACCCACCTCAGCCCCTCATATGAAGACCCCGACCCTGGATGGGGTCACCCAAAGAAGGGAAAAAGCCCCAAGAAATCTGGGGAGAAGGGTGCAGGAGATGCTGGAAGGAGAGCCAGGATCTAACCCGGGCAGCTGGGGCTGGGAATTCACCTCGGGGAGGAGCAGGAGGGACAGGACACCCCCAAGCAGACCAGGAAAATGAGGGTTGGGTTGAGACCTCTGCACCACGTCCTGCCTGGGAAGGCAGCAGGATGAGGCCCCAGGGGGCTCTGGCTGGAAGGGGGGATTATGCTCCATCCGCTCCAGTATAGCCAGTGGGGTGGCACTGGGAGCACCAGTTTGGGCTGAGTCCTTAACCCAGGGCTGCCCAGAGCTCCCAGTCCCAACTGGGACAGTGTAGAGGGGATGCACCGACGTTTTTGGGGAGGGGGGAATCTATTCGAGGGCAGCCCTGCAGCAGCCCCCCAGACCTGGAACAGGGGGAGGAAGGGGGAGGGTGCTGGTTCCCTCCCTGCTGGGGTCCTGGTCCGGGGCAGGACTCGCTGGGGAAGGGGCTGAGCTTGCAGAGCACCGGGGACCCCTCCCCGGGATGGCCCCTCCGGGAGGGGAGGAACAA